TTCGAACCCGCCACCTTAGGTGTACGTGGCTGGCACCTTAGCCACTTGAGCCACAGGTGCCGAGCCACTGCCTCAGATTCTTTAGAGCTATAAACAAAATATAGACAAAAAACAAGAATCCTCACTCATTCATACGGAACATAGAACATATAAAAACTAGCCTATTAAAGGAAGATTGACAACTGTAACCTAAACAAAAACCAGCCTCAAACAAACCAAAATCAGTCTCAAAAAAACTACATAAGAGTGGCCAAGAAAAGACTGGCCAAACCAAAAGACAGGAGGATGTCTCTCCCCTGCCTCAGGAACAGGCATCTCAGGCTGCGTCCAGCCTAGCCTATTGTTCCCCCTCAGATTCTCTAAAGATCCTCAGAAATCCACAGAAATTCACCAGCTTACTGACTCAGAAAATTTTGGGAGGCTGTGCCTTTAATCCATGTGTCTGAGAGCTCTGGGCCAGGGAAACTCCCTGAGGCCTTCCCCTGGAGCTGTGGCTAGTGGTGGGCTCAGGTGGGGGCGGGGGGGGGTGTCCCATGAATCTCGCTGGGGTCTCCAAATCTTGTGACTCACACAGCTGAGAAAGATACTTGGACCCCACTTTTTATGCAAATTAATATAAATTTATTGTACCTGTGCAGGGGTCATTGCCATAGGAAGAAAGCGACCCTGAATGAGAGATCAAATGGGTCTTTATACCCTATTTCTGTGTCACAGCAAGCAGGCAAAGGTACAGAAGCTGAATCATTGCGGTTAGCCTTGGGCGGGGGTACGTCAAGCCTCTCCTCCCTATGTACTTTCTTAGCTCAAGTTTCTCCTCGAAGTTCTTCCCCCTCCCTATGCACTCCCTTATCTTCAGGCCTCTTTTCAGAGGTCACCTCCCCACCCTTGAGGGGACTGGGACTGATGGATTCAAAGGAAATGTCTTTTTCAAGGGTAGGGGGCTTGGTTATCACACTCTTGTGGAACTTCTCTGCCTCCATAATCACATGAGCCTATTCCTCTAATATATTTATCTACAGTCATGCACCATGTAATGATGTTTTCGGTATAGACCAATGGACCACATATACAATGGTGGTCCCATAAGATCATAATGGAGCTATAAAATTCCTATCTTCTAGTGATATCATAGCCATCGCCTCCAGAGGAGCTGGGACACAAGCACATAACTACATGCCCAGATAATTTTTTTTTTTTTTGAGACAGAGTCTCAAGCTGTCACCCTTGTTAGAGTGCCATGGCATCACAGTTCATAGCAACCTCAAACTCTTGGGCTTACATGATTCTCTTGCCTCAGTCTCCCAAGTAGCTGAGACTACAGGCACCTACCACAATGCCTGGCGATTTTTTTTGTTGTTATTGCAGATGTCATTGTTGTTTTAGCTGCCTGGGGCCAGGCTCAAACCCACCAGCCTCCATGTATGTGGCTGGCGCCCAACTTACTGAGCTACAGGTGCCACCATGCCCAGATAATTTTTAAATTTTTTGTAGAGATGGAGGGAGGTCTCACTATGTTGTTCAGGCTGGTCTTGAACTCCTAGCCTGAAGCAATCCTCTTGCTCAGCCTCCCAAGGTGCCGAAATTATACACATGAGCCACAATGGCCAGCCAGTTTCTATTCCTTTTGCTACTACATACCCACATCCTTTCCTCCCTCCTGCCCTGGTTACTCATTCCATCTTGTCCTGGAATATTGAGCAGGGAGTGAACGGGGTTCCTGCCCTATTTCTGGGACTTTCCATTCTCTCTTCCTTTCTCTCTTCCCTTTCCTTGACCCTCCTCATTTTCCAGATGCAAGACCTAGAATGGTAGAAAAGGCATCAGAGATGGTGAAGAGGGATCTGGTCCTCTCCCTCTGGCTGGTTGTTCCAATTAAGGTAGAGCTCTCCACAGCATGGCTTTGGGGCCTGGATGCCCAATGTCTCATTGTCTGTGAGGAAGTCCCCACCCTAGTCCAAGAAGTTAAGTGGACTTCTCCTAGTGATGGATGTTACCTGTAATACTTTCTCTTCTCATGGCTGATCAGCCAAAAGCCAAGGACTATAACATGTGTGTGTGGTGGGGGGCCAGGGAGGTCAGTGGGCTCACAAGCTCATAGAGCCTGGGCAGTGGAGGTGGGGGTAGCTTCTGCAAAGGTGATAGGGACTGATTGTTCAGAATTTCACTGCTGAGCTGTGATTCTTCATTTTCTCCAGGAGATGATAGATGCTCCCAAAAGACATACAATGAAACAAATACCAGCTTATTGACTAGGGAACATCTGCCCTCCAACTCACTAGTTCATCCACACCTGCATGCATGCATGCATCCATCCGTCCATTCAATCATTCTTCTTATCATCCAACATTACACAAACATTTGTTGGGTCTCTGTCAGGTAGCAGCACAGTGATGGGCACTAGGCATATAAACTAGAATGGGACCCAGGTCTTATCTTTAAGGAGTTCATGGTCTAGTTGTATACAAATAAGTAAATGAAAAAGGGTTTTAGAAAGTATTTAATTTCTCCATTCAATGTGAACTTACTGAGCACCAGCAGTGTGACAGGCACTGTGGTGGGCAGCTGTGACCCTGCCCTCCTGAGCTTACAGTCTAGTGACAGAAGCCAGGACAGGACTCCTGTCATCTGGAACATGCCTCCAAGGCAGCCTCACAGTAAGCAGGGCATACCAGCTCTTAACTGCCTCATCTAGAAGGGACAAGTCCTAGATGACAGGGACACCTCTCTTCTCACAGGCCTTTGGCTAGAATTTGTCACATGGCTAGGAAATGCTATGAAGAACACAAAGTATTTGGTGAGCACAGACTCTCCTGCAATGACCAGTGGCTTCTGCCACTTTGAGTTAAGCCAAACAGACTCTGCCTAGTAGATTTTGAATATTGAGGCAAATCATTCAAGAACAACAACAAAAAATGTTTGGAACCTTATTATTCCCATGGCAGTGTCTGGGGACAGTGTCCATTGGTTCTTGTGCCCCAGTTGCTCGGAGCTTCCTGAGTTTCTGATCCTTCCTAAGACTGCATGGTTTAACTTGTTAATTTCTCAAGGCACTCAGTTTCTTCTCCATAAACACATCTATTGTGAAGTTAGCAGGAATTGTTTTCTAGTGACTGAAACCAAAGAAGTTTAACATACACACTTCTCTAAACCATTTTTGGTACACTGAGTCTCAATGAGGAATGAAGATTTCTGGTGCTGCCTATGAGTCAAGCCTGCCCCTTCTCTGTTTCCATTTATGGCAATGGCTGTGTTCGATAGCATCGATGTTGCATTTTGTCTACTTTGTTTTATAACAATTAGTGAAACCAAAAAAAACCCCAAAGCACTCAGACCTGTAGTATGAGACAGAGATGGAAATCATTAGGCGAATTCAAAAGGACACCGTTTTTCCTTAAATGGATGCTCACTGAGCCAGAAAAACAGAAATAAGGAATATGTATGAAAATGTTGAAATTCCATCACTGAAGATGGAATCTAGAAGGCAAGGTATTTTCTAATTCTCTGGAAATGGCACCTGCTTTATAACATGCATGTATATTTTGTCCAACTTTGGGGGAAGCTTTTAACAAAGCGCATGTGGGCACTGTCAGCACTGACTGGGCAGTGGTCCTCCTTCTTCTGGCTTCTGGTGACCCTTTTCAGTATTTTGTTCACTTTAAAGCTGGGACAGTAGGTCACAATCAACCTTTTGGGCATTCTCCAGGCTGAGTCACTTCTTGGTAGTTGCCCTTGAGTTAGGAAACCATGAGGTCCACACAGTAGCGGTCAGTAGGGTCACTGCAGGAGTGTGCACTCCTTCCATTGTTTGGAATGGGACACCAAACAAACCCAGCTAGCAATACCCTTCTGGGGCTATGCGGGCACTTTCAAGTTTGGAGTCTTCAAAAGGCTTGGTGGTACTATCCTGAGATTCTGTTCTTGGGTTTTTTTGGTTTCTCTGTTTTGATTTTGTTTCTCCGTCCTTTTTTGTGTATGTGAGGGGGTAAGGGTATGGGTATGGGGCCTAGTTGTCCCAGGAGAGTCACATAGAGGCTTGCTTTTGGGGGGGGGGTCATTTTCTCTGGGTGCTAGTTAGCCTAGAGTGATGTGGCCAAAGAGATGTACATCACGCAGGTCATGTTCTCCCAGGATTTAGATAGAGACACTGTTCTCAATGTGGGGAGGGTCCAGGTAAGTGTAGGGCAGTGCCAGGCCCTGGTTCCGCTCCTGGATGCCCCTTGAGATCTGTGCCAGGTGGCTCTGGAAGGCAGCGATGCTCTGCTGTGGGGCCTCCTCTGTGAAGTGCTCATCTGGGTAGGTGCCCAGGGGCCTCTAGGGACAAATCATGAGGCTGGGTAAGGGGACTGTTAAGGTCTCACATGCCAGATTTCCTGTTCCTATCCTCTGAGCAGCTGACTTGCTTTAGCTCGCTCTGGCCCCAGCCCCTACCCTGGAGACCTGAAATAGCCTTTAACCGGACCTGATTCATGCTCCTCCCCTTAAACAGGTCTTCCCCAAGTGAAGATTATCTGCAGGGGAATAAAAGTTCAATTTGGAGTTTCAAAGGAACATAATTACCCCTTTGAGCTCAGGGGGACTCTCTGCATCATCTCATTTGGCCATTTTACCCGCACTGTGAAATTTCCAAGGCTCATGTGTCCCATTGGAAGGTCCAGTGGGTGAAGGGACCTGGCTATTTGATGGCAGGATCAGGTCTAGGCTAGGAGGGTAAACAACACATCCTCACTTATCCCAATTTGGCCTGGCCTGTGTCCCAGCCTTGTACTCACTCTATCTCCAGGCTCCTTGCTTAGCAACCAGAGGGCAATGATGACATCACATGTGGCATTGACTGGTGGGAGGGTGGCTATATAGCCCTCAGACCTTGCCTGGCCTTTGGAGGTGGGTGGTGGCAGCTGCATGGTGGGTGGCAGGTTAGGCATCCAAGCACAGAAGTCAAACTGAAGGCCAAGAGGGCTGAATGAGGCTAAGGAGCCAGGCTACCTCCACCTCCATCCACTAGCACTGACCTTTCCTCACCTGCCCGGCACTGACAGCAGCATGTTTGGCTGAGCAGGTGAATATCACCATGGTAACATACTGCACAAGGGCTTCTCGGGTCTCCAGTGAGGAGGGCACACCTGTGGGGAGATCTGGGCTGGGGACAGGGCCTGAGAACCAGGCTGCAGAGGCTGAGGGTGGAACCCAAGGGCTAAGGTTTCCATACCTGAGCTTTGCCGGCTTAGGAAGCCCTCGGAGAAAATCTCCCTCACCCAGGCTTGGAGCTCTCTATCATCTTGGACAGACATGTCACTTGGGTAGTAGATGTTGATTATTTCAGAGACAAAGCTGCAAGGTACACCCAGGCTCAGTCTCAGCCTCTCTGAGGAATGCCCCTGCCCAGCGCCATGAATGACTTGCCCTGCTCCTTGTCATGAGCCTCTCTGGGCCCTCCTGTCCTTTCTAGTCTGCCTGCCTCCCCCATAAGCCCTCAGATCCTCTGGGGACAGCCCCCTCACCGCTCCACTGCACTCCAGATCTGCATCCCATCATCCCGGTAGTAGTATCCTGGGATGTCTTCAACTCCTCGGTTCCGGATATCCTCAGGCAAACACAGGTCAGAATAGTTCAGCTGCTCCATGCTCCTCTGTATCAACTCAGAGAAGCCTCCAATGCCGAGGCCTGTGGACTGGGAGATAGGACTCCTGGGGACCAGATTCCTCACTCCAGAGCCTGAGATAGCACTGGCGTGGGGGATCCCAGATTCTACAAATTGAAGGAATGGCCCATGTACTGCCTCCCTTGGTACTCTTACCCTGTCCACCACCTGCCGGGGGGCAATGAGCAGCTCACGGGCGAGGGTGTTGATGTGCAGGGTATACCGTGTGTGCGGGATCAGCAGCTGTGCATGGCAGGCATGGCAGAGCTGGGAGAGGCCTGGGTCTTTCTGGCCCCAGACCTCCCAGAGGCACAAGCCCTGTAAATCACTAGTGAAGAGACAACAGGGACAGCCCAGGACAGGGGCAGTGCTTCATGTCCAATATGGGGCTGGGATCCACCAGCATCTTGTTCCATAACCCTGGGCTCGCTGCTTCCTCTCTCTGGGGAGCAGGTCATTTTGTCAATGAGGGGGCTGATTTGGATGAGCACTGTGAGGCTCGGGCATCTGTGATTTCCTAACCCTTGGGCAGACAAAACCCCATGGGAACCAAGGCCTATGGGCCCGGCAATGTGGAACCATCCCCTGGAGCTCGCTTCTGCGTGCTGGGCCCTGGGAGCTATGGATGGCTGGAAAAAATCAGCCAGGATTGAAGAGACAAAACAAGACCTGCATCCAGGACCCAGGAGACTGTCTAAGTCAGCATCTGACTGAGCAGTACCCCTCCACCCCCTACCTTGGGGAGTGGGGAGGATCCTGCCCTTCACAGAGCAGATGCCTCTCAGATCTGGGTGTGCCTCAAGTCTGTGCCATCTGAAGACTCAATCAGCAGGGCCTTGAGACACGCAAAACCTGACCTAGAGTGTGTGGTTCTCCCTCCCAGGGCTCCTCCATCACTAGAAACTGCAGAAAATACGTTGGTCCTTCAAAGCCACGTTCACACTTTAACATTTGCCAGATTCAGTTCTCTCCTCTCCTGGATCTGGGCTTCTGTGATGGTTCTCCTGTCTGGCCTCCCTTAAGAAGTGTGGTCTCTGGACCCAGGGGAAGGACCATCGCAAGGACTTGCAGACTTGGGCCCAGTTTGGGCCACCTTGCCAAGACACTGACCTTGAAGAGTGGATGGCAGTGGGGCAGCTGGCGCAGTGTAGCCAGGGTGAAGACCTCAGGCAGCAGGTGAGAGTACAGCAAGTGCGTGAGGGCCTCGTGGAAGGAGAACTCGGCATTGCGCACCCAGGTCTTAGCCAGCAGCCAGTCCCACTTGTCATCACTGGGTAGGAAGATGGGGCTATTGGGTCCAGGTGTCTGGCTGAGCTGATGGTGAGGCAGCGGGGGAGACAGGGAGCCATGAGTGTCTGCTACCTGTTCAGTCAACCCCAACCCTGCTCTGCCCCTAGCCAGCTGCAGACCTGGATGGCGAGGGGTAGCAGGGGCCCAGACCCTGGTCGCTGGTACAGCAGGGTCATTGGGGCTGCGGAGAACTGAGGCTTCCCATTAATGACATTGGTTTGGATGCCTGAGAGGATGCCATGATCCACCAAGAACAGTGAGCCCCTCTATAGGAGAAAGAAGGGGAATTGGGGCTGTCATTTGCTTTTCTAAAGGATAGGAGTATGGTAGAAGGGAGAGGAGTATGTTTGGGGAGAGGGTATGCTTGGCACACAGCATATAGCAGGTTCCTAACAAATGTGGTGTACCCCTCCCAAGGCACTTAGAAGGCCTGGACCCTTGTCCCCCTCACCTCCAGCTCAGCCTGTAGATTGGTTCCAGGGCCCAGTACTGGGGCCACCATGGCATCAGTGACTGGGAAGTTCTTTGGGAGGTAACGACAGCGGCGGATCAGAACAGGGTTAAGGCCATTCAGGAACTGGGAGGCAAAGAAGGCATCCTCCTTCCAGTGTTCATACACATACTCTGCAAGGGGTGGGAGATGTGGAGATTGGATTACCTCAGATCCCACAGGTCTCAGCCTGAGCTTCACAGTGGTTTTCTCCTGGGTCCATCATGGGCACCCTATACCCTTCTCCGGGTAACCTCCTTTGGCCCTTTGGCTTTAGTGCTTTCCCCAAACTGCACATCTTAGACCCCAGCCCACCTGTCCTTCTAGCTACCTGATATTCCCCCTGGGTGACTCGCCAGTCTCAAATACATGTCAGAGACCAAATGTGGGCTCCTCTTCCCAGTCAGGCCTCTCCCATTGTCTGGCTCCCTGGGGGAATGGCAACTTCATCTACCTAGTTGCCTGTAGCAGAGCCTGGGGACCTCTCTTGGCAGCTCCCCCCAAGCCTAAGTACCTCTTAGTCCATCGTCCACTCCACCAAGCCTCATGGCTAATCCTTCTGCTTCCACTCTCACCCCCAACAACCCACCCCAAGGGGCATACTGCCATGTCATTCCCCAGCTGGCAACCAGCCAACAGCCTCCTCCCACTGCACTGTGGAAAGCTCCCATTCTGTGTGGCCCACACAGTTCTGAACAATCTGGGCCCCCATGCCCCTCTCCTACTTCCTCCAGAGGTATCTGATCCTTTTGTCTTCAGGGCCTTCATATTCTCCGGCCCCTAAGCCTGAAACCCTCTCTGTCCCAGATCCCATCCTTGGCACTGCTAATGCCTGCTCACCTCTGAGGTCCAGCATTAGTCAGCTCCAGACTAGAGCACAAGCCCTTTTAAACATTCTCTGGAACTAGTAAGCATGTTTCACAATGGAAACAGGCCATTTCAGTCTAATTAATATCCACTGGCCTGCTCAGCTATAGGCCCTGTGAGTACACAAACTGTGTCCACAGCCCCTAACCCACTGCCTGATGTGTAGCTACTCAACAGATGTCTATTGGATTAGAAGGCACTGAGAGGTCAGAGAGCCCTCCATCCATATTCTCTTCTCTCTGTGTGGGGGAAAGTAAGGCTTGGGAAGGGACAGGGCTTGCCCAGTGTCACACAGTAAATTGGAGTTTTTTTCCCCTGAGACTCTTTGAAAGCCATGGATTGAGAGCCACAGCCCAAGCTCCTCACCAGCTGCTGGGGTCCTCTGGAAACTGAAGATTCTTTTCATCTCATGCAGACTCCTCCAGAGCCCCTTGCGGCCCAGCAGTCCCTTGATTCTCAGGTCTGCGAATCTGTAGAGGATGTGAGGGGTAGGAAGGGGTCCTGGAGACCACAGGAGACCTTCTCCTTCAGCCAGCCTTGTCCTTCCTGGGATCTTGAACCAGCTTCCAGGGCCTGAGGTAGTCACTTCCCCTAAGGTGGCCACTACCTATGGGAATCGGTGGTGGGCAGGAGGCTGTGTGCTGAGTTGGGCTGTGTGACCCATATCACTGAGGAGGGGGTAGCTGAGTAGGGGAGGGCAGGAGCAGGGGTCATAGGGCTTCTGAGGCCTGGGGGTAGGATAGGGCAGGCATCCTCACGCAGAGATTCCTTGTAGGTAAAAGTTAGTGTTCTTGACTGTGGAGTATTTGATGTTTAGGTCCAGGTCTTTGACAGTCATCTCATTAAGACAGTGAGGCCATCCTGGGATGTAAGTCTTCCAGCTGGTGGGTGGAGCAGGCAGGTGGTCAGCAAGAGGCCACAGGGAGCCCCTGGACTAGGGCAGAGGGAGTGGCAGGCTCTTTGGAGTCCTTGGTCAGAGCCAGCCCCTTCTTTGACCAAGAGCCTTCTTGGAATCTGCCCTTCCCCTCCATCAACAGGTTGCATGGGAGCTGCCATGTTCACATAGTGAGAACTTCTCCCTGGTCACAAGTGGGCTGAACACCTGACTAGAGCTGGGTCAATTAGAGTCCTTCCCAAGGAATTTGAGATGGTCTGAGCTAAACTGGTGGTCTCTCTCAGGATATCTAGATTATAGCATATAAACAGAGACTTAACTATGGCCCCTTCCTGTACTTCTATAAGTACCTCTGGGTCTTGCTGACAAACTGCTCTTTTTTCTGTCTACTAGATGGTGTTGGCTCTTGTTCTTGCAACTATAAAATTCCTGACTAACACAGAGACACATCTTGTAGAGGAGAGATTGTCCTGAGACAGGGGCTGCATGGAAGATTTTAGTTCCCTTTGGTAGGCATATCTCATGGAAGGGAACTTAAGCCTCCATAGCAGTTTACTCTGCCCTGGCCTAAGGCATCTCTAAATCCTACTATCAAACAAGTAACACAGACCTTCTTTGGATGAAATGGTAAAATCATGTCCCTGCTAATTGAGGGCCCTCTGTCAGTACTTTCCTTACTCATTCATTCTTTGGTTCATTTAACAATTACTTTTGGATTTAAAGTTTAACTTTAAGGTGCAATTTGCAATTAACATATGCTGCCACCAGGTGGTGGCGAAACTCTGTTTCTTAGACTTCAATGTGGGTACCGAGGGATATTGGTAAAATGCATTCTGATTTCTAAAAGTCCCATGTAAGGACGACACCAGCAAAGGTAAGGCATTTAGGGCAGCAGTTTCCAAAATTTAATGGGTGCCAGAGTCATGGGGAAGGCTTGTTAAAACAAAAATTGCCACTTCCCACACTCTGAGAGGGTCTGAGAATCTGCATTTCCAACAAGTTCCCAGGTAATGCAGATGCTGCTCCTTCCAGGAGGACTCTTTGCTAGGAGAGGTGGAGGCAGGAACTTTAGTCTATTCAATGGCCAGAGACACCCAAGCTGCCCCTCATCTCTTGGGCACCTCCTCCCCCCAACAGTAGCCCCTCCTCACTGGTACATATCCTGACGGGCCTTCAGCTCCTCCTGGCGCTGTTGCTGGAACACCGGGTGGTGGTCTGCCCAGGAGACCTTTGCTGTGGGAGGAAGGGAACAGGTGGCAGGGGACCCTCCCCATTTATGGCCCCAGCCACTCTCCCCTCTACAAATACCATCCCCTATCCCCCCACCCTACACATAAGTACAGTTTCTCCCACATCAGGCTGCCACCTTCGCCTCCCGATGGCGCCACCAGCCCCAGTCTCTGTCCGCTGGTTGCGCAGTGGCCATACCCGGCTCACCTCTCCATTCCACTCGCCCTTCCTCCATCCCACTCCGCCTCTCACGCCCCACGTGCAGCCCCAGACGGCCCCCTGCCCCTCACCTGCCCCCTCCCGCAGCACCAGGCTTCTCGTCCCCTCCAGCCATTGGTAGCAGGGGAAGCGGAGCAGCGGGGCGCCCTGCGGCAGCGCAAGCTGGAACCAGCGACAGAACCAGGCATCCGGGACCAGGTGCCCTAAGAGGCCGCGCGATGCCGGGGGTGCCTTGTGCACGCGCAGCAGCAGCACCTGGCCCACGTCCTGAGGGAGCGTCACCTTGAAGTCTTCCTCCTGGGGTGATGAGGATAGGTATGAGGAGGCCCATCCTTTCTGCCCCCAACTCCCCCTTTGCCCCTCGCCCACACACTCACAGCGCCCGCAGAGAACTCCTTGCCAAAATGGTCCAAGGGCAGTGGGGGACTCTCTCCCCGGGTCCCCACGATGGTGACAGACACTTTGTCCCAAGTACCAGCTCTGCAGGCCTCCCCAGTGGACACCGTCACCCTGAACTCCGCCATGGTGCCAGCCTGAGTCTGGCTGTCTACTGAGAGCCAGGCTGCTGAGCAGGATGCCGCACCCTCAGGACACGCCCCGCCTCGCCCCGCCCCGGCCTGGCTCCATTCAGGCAAAGCTGATTATTAGCATTGCCGCCAGGACCACTGGGGCCCCATCTCCACCCCCCAAAGCCTGCAAGATTCTGGGCGGAGCGGGGGTGGTGGTGGCGGTGGTGGTAGTGACAAGGGGCTGGGATGCGGAAGTAGGGACAGGGAGGACTGGAAGTCCTGAAGTTTGGGGAACAGCATCTTTCAGTGGTGGTGCCAGGCCAGAAAATAGAGTTGGGACCTAGCTATAATGGAGGCTCATTTGCACCCCACCCCCTGTTTAGTTGCTTGCCTTCTTGACCTATGCAGAACCACCTCCACTCTTCCCACAATGTTGCTAGGACTATCTCCATTATTTAATTTCTTTCCACTAATTTTCAGAACCAACTCTGTGCCAGGCCCTATGTTAGATACTCTGACTGTAGGCCCAGAAAAGACCCAGTGTTTGCCCTGATGGAGATTAAACATCGGTGTCAGAGAAAATAAATAAAAACAAACACATAATATAACTGTAGATGATGAGTGCTATAAAGGAAATAAAACAGGTTGATATTAGGGAGTGAGAAGTAGAGGTAGGAAAAACCCCGTAGGCTCAGAGGAGGTGACATGTGAGCTGAGATCCGATAAAGAATTCATCTGGGGCAGAGAGTTTTGTGCAGAAGGAACTGTCCCTGCAAAGACCTGAAGTTAAGAAGAGCTTAGTTTGGGCTGCACCTGTGGCTCAGTATGTAGGGCACTGGCCTCATATACTGAGGGTGGCGGGTTTGAACCTAGCCCTGGCCAAACTGCAACAAAAAAAATAGCCGGGTGTTGTGGTGGGCACCTGTAGTCTCAGCTACTCGGAAGGCTGAGGCAAGAGAATCGCCTAAGCCCAGGAGTTGGAGGTTGCTGTGAGCTGTGATGCCATGACACTCTACTAAGGGTGATTAAGTGAGACTCTGTCTCTAAAAAAAAAAAAAAAGAAGAAGAGCTTAGTTTTTGTTTTTTTTTTTGAGACAGAGCCTCAAGCTGTCCCCCCTGGGTAGAGTGCTGTGGCATTACAGCTCAAAGCAACCTCCAACTCCTGGGCTCAAGTGAGTCTCCTGCCTCAGCCTCCCAAGTAGCTGGGACCACAGGCGCCCGCCACAACGCCTGGCTATTTTTTGGTTGCAGCCGTCATTGTTGTTTGGCGGGTCCGGGCTGGGGATTCAAACCCGCCACCTTAGGTGTACGTGGCTGGCGCCTTAGCTGGTTGAGCTATAGGCGCCGAGCCAAGAGCTTAGTTTGTTAAAGGAGGAAAGGTGAGAGTGAGGGAATGAGAGAGAGAGAGATGTCAGGGGAAGTTATGGATTTTAGATTTGAGGAAATAACAGACTTGAGGTTTCCAGCCTGGAAATGCTAAGTTTGAGATGCCCATTAGACAAGCAAGTGAAGAAACTACACCTCAGCACCGAGCTCAGAGAAGGAGGGAGTCAGCAGCACATAGGTGTGTCTAAGCCACAGGCTGGTGGAGATCATTAAGCAGAGAACATGCTGTAGGCGGAGAAGAGAAGGGAGAGCCAGCTGTGGCCCAAGGCCCTCTGATATTTGGAAGTTGCGCAAAGGACATAGAAGCAGTGAAGATCAGTCAGTGAAGCAGGAGGAGAACCAGGAGAGGGCATTTCAGGAAAGCCCAGAAAACATAGGCCAATTGTGTCACCTGTTGCAAAGAGGCTGAACAAGAGGGAGACAGAAATCACTGGATCTCCCAACAAGGAGATCTTTGAGTTTGTGCTGCTCACTGACGAGTTTGATTGAGGAGATCAACCCACTTCTTTTTTTTTCTTTTTGAGACAGTCTCACTTTGTCACCCTTGGTAGAGTGCCATCGTGTCATAGCTCACAGCCGCCTCAAATTCTTGGGTTCAAGCAATTCTCTTGCCTCAGCCTCCTGAGTAGCTGAGACTACAGGTGCCCGCCACAATGTCTGCTATTTTTAGAGATGGGATTTCACTCTGGCTCAGGCTGTCTCAAACCTGTGAAGTCAGGCAATCCACCCACCTTGGCCTCCCAGGGTGCTAGGATTACAGGCATGAGCCACCTTGCCTGGCCTGACCAACCCACTTCTATGTGACCGCACACAGCAGAATCCCCATCTGTCACTCTGGCAACCTTGCCTACAGCAGTTTGTGGTGTGATGGGGTGGGGAGGTGGAAGCCAGATTAGAGAATGACTGGGGATAGAATTCCAGGTAAACATGCACACACACCTTCATCTCTGAGGGACATCTTTGAGGGATGAGCAAGTGGGGACAGGAAGGACTGTAGCAGGGGAAGTAGAGCAGCCCGGTGCCCTGTGGCAGCATGAGCTAGAAGTGGACATCTTTTCTTTATCTCCTGAAACCTCACCAGCCTTAAAGCATAACCCTACAAGGACAAGAAAATGAGTATGGAGATGACAGCAACTGATTCGACAAGACAGGAGAATAGTGAAAGTCTAGATGTAGGTCAGTTCCCACTTCAAAACCCCCAAAGTCATAGGAATTAGGAAAGAGATGCTTCTGAGTGTGGGGCACAGGTGACACTGAAAACAGGATACCATCTGATGAAAGCTCATTAAGTACAGTTAGGCATCCTCCCGTACACTTCTGCACCTCACACAAGCAGCAGGAGAGGATTCCTCCCCAACCTCACAGCCAGCGTGAAATTTATTTTCTAGAGAAATTGAACTAGAGGGAGTCTAGACTTGGGGATACCAGCTAGAGCTAGGGATGGACACCAAACTTAACATAAGAGGGTGACAGTGCATATTGAGTAGGGGGAGCCCTGACCAGACTGCCCCTGACTTATGCTGTCTGTGCCAGAAATTTCACATACTGTTCCTGGGCAGTGAAATGGTCAGCCGGCCAGTTGTACGCTGTCCACACTGGGTCTCCCACAGACAGCCCCATGGCCTTGTTGTAGTTCTTCTCATCCACTGTGAAGCGGTGATAGACTCCCACGGGGAGCGTTATCACATCCCCTTTCTCCATGTAGATTTGGATCCATTTGTCCAGTTGGCATCTCATACATTTAAGTATCCGCCGCCGTCCAGGATGTAGCAGATCTTATCATCCAAGTGTAAGTGCTCCTCGTAAAACATCTTAATCTTTTCTTCAGAGTTCAGCAGTTTACTTTGGTTATGGTTATTTTGTCCATCCAGGAGTAGTTTCTCTATGAATCTTTTCTAATTCTGGATCATTTTCAGATTTGTCAGCATCCAGCTCTCTCTACTGCCCTATGCTCTTCCTTTTTTTGAGTCTCACTATGTCACCCTTGGTAGAGTGCTGTGGCCTCATTGCTCACAGCAACCTCAAACTCTTGGGCTCAAGCGATTCTCTTGCCTCAGCCTCCCAAGTAGCTGAGACTAACAGGCGCCCCCCACAATGCCGGCTATTTTTATTTATTTATTTATTGCAGTTTTTTTTGGCCAGGGCTGGGTTTGAACCCGCCACCTCCAGTATATGGGGCCGGTGCCCTACTCCTTTGAGCCACAGGTGCCACCCGAGTATTTTTATTTTTTTAGAGACAAGGCCTTCCTCTGGCTCAGCCTGATCTAGAACCTCCCCTGCTTTCATAATTTCACAATGATGTGCCATGGTGTAGTCTATTTTTATAAACTGTGCAGTGCTCTCAGGGGGCCTTTATAATCTTTTTTTTTTTTTTTTTGAGACAGAGTCTCACTATGTCACCCTCAGTAGAATGCTGTAGAGTCACAGCTCACAGCAACCTCTAACTCTTGGGCTTAAGTGATTCTCTTGCCTCAGCCTCCCAAGTAGCTGGGACTACAGGTGCCCACCACAATGCCAGGCTATTTTCTTGTTGCAGTTGTCATTGTTGTTTAGCTGGTTCAGGCTGGGCTTAGACCTGCCAGCCTCAGTGCATACGGCTGGCACAGTAACCACTGTGCTACTGACACCAACCTTTTATAATCTTAAGATTTCACGTCCCTCAGTATTTAGAAGATGTCTTGAATTATTTCATTGATGATTTTCTTCTCTTCATCTTATCTAATATCTCTTTTTTGAACTCCTATCATTCAGATGTTAGATCTCTTGATCTGGTTCTCCATTTTCCATGTTTTTTTTTTAAATTGTTTCAGTTTCATTAAGGGTACAAAGAATTAGGTTACACTGTTAGCATTTGTTAGGTAAAGTCCCTCTTATGATTGGGTCCCACCCCCAAGAGGTGTACCTTACACAGAAACCTCCACCCTCACCCCCTGCCTCCCTCCCCTCCCAACTCCCTCATTCCCCCACCCTTCACAAAAACTCATGTGAGTTTTTGTCTTTTGTGGGTATTAGATCATCTATTGGCTTCATATTAGAATTGAGGACATTGGATTCTTGTTTCTCCATTCTTGTGACATTTTACTAAGAAGAATGTATTTTCACCCTATCCAGGTTAATGCAAAAGAGGTAAATTCTCCATCTTTTTTAATGGCTGAATAGTATTCCATGGCATACGTATACCACAGCTTGTTAATCCATTCCTGGGTTGGTGGGCATTTAGGTTGTTTTCACATTTTGGCGATTGCAAATTGAGCTGTGATAAACAGTCTAATGCAAATGTCTTTATGATAAAATGATTTTTTTTCTTCTGGGTAGATGCTTAGCATGGAATTTCAGGATCAAATGCGAGACCTAACTTGAGTTCTTTAAGGATTCTCCATATTTCCTTCCAAAAAGTTGTCTTAGTCCGCAGTCTTACCATTTCCATTCTCTATTTCCTGGCTTTCCATTTTATTTTCTTTCTCGTTTTCTATCACTTGCCTTTTGCTGTTTTCTAGTAGATTTCCTAAACTGTCTCTTCCAATATTTCTATTGAGTTATTTTTACTTTTCCTACCCTATTTTTAATTTCAATAGCTCTTTTTCTTCTGTGTATATATTTTGTTGTGTTTTGTTTTAAATTTCTTTTTAGTTTTTTAGAGATGGGGCCTCACTCTTGCTCAGGCTGGTCTTGAACTCCTGAGCTCAAGCAATCCTC